TATATATTATATATATATATATATATATATATCGTACAACTGAGGATCATGATTAATACTGTGCTTCAAGGGCAGGTGGGCGAGCTTCAAGGACAGATGTGTGGGCATCTGATGTGGACAAGTTTCTGGGTTGGGTATGTATGTGGTGAGTTGGCTTCTAGGAAGGAATGTGTATTTCTCTATATGGTAAAAAAAGCGACCCCAAAGTCTACTCCACCTGGGAAACTGATGCAGTCATTTCAAGCTGCTAAGCTGCATCCCTGAGGTGTTGAAGAACATTCTTGGGAAGCTCTGGGAAAAAGCTGGACAAGAGAGTGGGTGGGAATAGGTGGTTTTGAGAAGGAGTTGCCTAGTATGGGCCAGTAGACCTGCCTCAGTGCTCCTCCATTCTTACATTCTGAGGTGACAGTGATTAAAAATGAGAATGTGGGAGTTCATAGAAGATATTTCATACATGAAAGCTTGGAGGCAGAACCTGTCACTAGATGGAGGGAGGGTGAGTATGATAGCTTACTGGAAATAAGTCGGACCCCCAATGGAAATAAGTCGGACCCCCAATGGAAATAAGTCGGACCCCCAATGGAAATAAGTCGGACCCCCAATGGAAATAAGTCGGACCCCCAATGGAAATAAGTCGGACCTCCAATGGAAATAAGTCGGACCCCCAATGGAAATAAGTCGGACCCCCAATGGAAATAAGTCGGACCCCCAATGGAAATAAGTCGGACCCCCAATGGAAATAAGTCGGACCCCCAATGGAAATAAGTCGGACCCCCAATGGAAATAAGTCGGACCCCCAATGGAAATAAGTCGGACCTCCAATGGAAATAAGTCGGACCCCCAATGGAAATAAGTCGGACCTCCAATGGAAATAAGTCGGACCCCCAATGGAAATAAGTCGGACCCCAATGGAAATAAGTCGGACCTCCAATGGAAATAAGTCGGACCCCCAATGGAAATAAGTCGGACCCCCAATGGAAATAAGTCGGACCCCCAATGGAAATAGGTCACATTGACTCTTTTGGGTCATTCTAGGTAATTTACACTTTGTATGATAATTGTATTTATGTGTAGCTGTAACTAAATAAACTTATATAGTCTTGTGTGGACTGAGTGGTTATGTAAGAACTGCCTTGTTACTCTCCCTGGAGTGTCAGGGGATCTCTGCTGACTGGTGGAAGTATACCTGGGTGTCAGCACTCCCGTGGCCTGGTCCATGATCCACGTGGATCAGGGCCTGATCAGCCAACTGGGCTGTTACTGCTGGCTGCATGTAAACCAACATAGGAATCACAGTCTGGTTGGTCAGGTACTGTCCAGCACCTTCTTGAAGACAGTCAGGGGGTCTTGAAGATAACCAAAGGAGACAATTGAACAGTCTTGGGCCCCTGACACTTATTGTGTTGTCTCTTAGCATACTCGTGGAACCACTGCTTATCACTGGGGGAATGTTGCATCTCCTACCGAGTCTTTTGCTACCATAGGGAGTGATTTTTGTGTGCTGCTTTGGGACTAGTCCCTCTAGGATTTTCCAAGTGTATATTATCATGTATCTTTCTCGCCAGCATTCCAGGGAATACAAATCAAGGGACTTCAACTGTTCCCAGTAATTTATGTGCTTTATCATAATTATACATGCAGTGAAAGTTCTGTGTATATTCTCCAGTCTGTAATTTCACCAGCCTTGAAAGGGACCAGTAGTATACAGCAATATTCCAGCCTTGAAGGGGGCAGTGTACAGCAATATTCCAGCCTTGAGAGAATAAGCTATTTAAACATAATCATCATGGTCTAGACATCCCAAGTTTTGAAGGTTTTCACTATCCATCCCTAGTGTTGAAGGTTCTCATTATCCATCTCTAGTTTTGAAGGTTCTCATTATCCATCCCTAGTGTTGAAGGTTCTCATTATCCATCTCTAGTTTTGAAGGTTCTCATTATCCATTCTATCATTTTCCTAGCATGTGTCTTATTCGTCAACTTCTTATTATTGTACACCATCAATAATAATATAGGCTTTTGTTAAATTCAATAATAAGTCTGAATTTCCAAAACTCGTCGTGGTGCGCCATGGTGCATGATGATGACCTGGTGCGCCATGGTGCATGATGATGACCTGGTGCACCATGGTGCATGATGATGACCTGGTGCACCATGGTGCATGATGATGACCTGGTGCACCATGGTGCATGATGATGACCTGGTGCACCATGGTGCATGATGATGACCTGGTGCACCATGGTGCATGATGATGACCTGGTGCACCATGGTGCATGATGATGACCTGGTGCACCATGGTGCATGATGATGACCTGGTGTGCCATGGTGCATGATGATGACCTGGTGCACCATGGTGCATGATGATGACCTGGTGCACCATGGTGCATGATGATCACCTGGTGTGCCATGGTGCATGATGATGACCTGGTGCACCATGGTGCATGATGACCTGGTGCACCATGGTGCATGATGACCTGGTGCACCATGGTGCATGATGATGACCTGGTGCACCATGGTGCATGATGATGACCTGGTGTGCCATGGTGCATGATGATGACCTGGTGCACCATGGTGCATGATGATGACCTGGTGCACCATGGTGCATGATGATGACCTGGTGCACCATGGTGTATGATGATGACCTGGTGTGCCATGGTGCATGATGATGACCTGGTGCACCATGGTGCATGATGATGACCTGGTGCACCATGGTGCATGATGATCACCTTATTTTATTATTTTTTATTATCACACTGGCCGATTCCCACCAAGGCAGGGTGGCCCGAAAAAGAAAAACTTTCACAATCATTCACTCCATCACTGTCTTGCCAGAAGGGTGCTTTACACTACAGTTTTTAAACTGCAACATTAACACCCCTCCTTCAGAGTGCAGGCACTGTACTTCCCATCTCCAGGACTCAAGTCCGGCCTGCCGGTTTCCCTGAACCCCTTCATAAATGTTACTTTGCTCACACTCCAACAGCACGTCAAGTATTAAAAACCATTTGTCTCCATTCACTCCTATCAAACACGCTCATGCATGCTCGCTGGAAGTCCAAGCCCCTCGCACACAAAACCTCCTTTACCCCCTCCCTCCAACCTTTCCTAGGCCGACCCCTACCCCGCCTTCCTTCCACTACAGACTGATACACTCTTGAAGTCATTCTGTTTCGCTCCATTCTCTCTACATGTCCGAACCACCTCAACAACCCTTCCTCAGCCCTCTGGACAACAGTTTTGGTAATCCCGCACCTCCTCCTAACTTCCAAACTACGAATTCTCTGCATTATATTCACACCACACATTGCCCTCAGACATGACATCTCCACTGCCTCCAGCCTTCTCCTCGCTGCAACATTCATCACCCACGCTTCACACCCATATAAGAGCGTTGGTAAAACTATACTCTCATACATTCCCCTCTTTGCCTCCAAGGACAAAGTTCTTTGTCTCCACAGACTCCTAAGTGCACCACTCACTCTTTTTCCCTCATCAATTCTATGATTCACCTCATCTTTCATAGACCCATCCGCTGACACGTCCACTCCCAAATATCTGAATACGTTCACCTCCTCCATACTCTCTCCCTCCAATCTGATATTCAATCTTTCATCACCTAATCTTTTTGTTATCCTCATAACCTTACTCTTTCCTGTATTCACCTTTAATTTTCTTCTTTTGCACACCCTACCAAATTCATCCACCAATCTCTGCAACTTCTCTTCAGAATCTCCCAAGAGCACAGTGTCATCAGCAAAGAGCAGCTGTGACAACTCCCACTTTGTGTGTGATTCTTTATCTTTTAACTCCACGCCTCTTGCCAAGACCCTCGCATTTACTTCTCTTACAACCCCATCTATAAATATATTAAACAACCACGGTGACATCACACATCCTTGTCTAAGGCCTACTTTTACTGGGAAAAAATTTCCCTCTTTCCTACATACTCTAACTTGAGCCTCACTATCCTCGTAAAAACTCTTCACTGCTTTCAGTAACCTACCTCCTACACCATACACCTGCAACGTCTGCCACATTGCCCCCCTATCCACCCTGTCATACGCCTTTTCCAAATCCATAAATGCCACAAAGACCTCTTTAGCCTTATCTAAATACTGTTCACTTATATGTTTCACTGTAAACACCTGGTCCACACACCCCCTACCTTTCCTAAAGCCTCCTTGTTCATCTGCTATCCTATTCTCCGTCTTACTCTTAATTCTTTCAATTATAACTCTACCATACACTTTACCAGGTACACTCAACAGACTTATCCCCCTATAATTTTTGCACTCTCTTTTATCCCCTTTGCCTTTATACAAAGGAACTATGCATGCTCTCTGCCAATCCCTAGGTACCTTACCCTCTTCCATACATTTATTAAATAATTGCACCAACCACTCCAAAACTATATCCCCACCTGCTTTTAACATTTCTATCTTTATCCCATCAATCCCGGCTGCCTTACCCCCTTTCATTTTACCTACTGCCTCACGAACTTCCCCCACACTCACAACTGGCTCTTCCTCACTCCTACAAGATGTTATTCCTCCTTGCTCTATACACGAAATCACAGCTTCCCTATCTTCATCAACATTTAACAATTCCTCAAAATATTCCCTCCATCTTCCCAATACCTCTAACTCTCCATTAATAACTCTCCTCTCCTATTTTTAACTGACAAATCCATTTGTTCTCTAGGCTTCCTTAACTTGTTAATCTCACTCCAAAACCTTTTCTTATCTTCAACAAAATTTGTTGATAACATCTCACCCACTCTCTCATTTGCTCTCTTTTTACATTGCTTCACCACTCTCTTAACCTCTCTCTTTTTCTCCATATACTCTTCCATCCTTGCATCACTTCTACTTTGTAAAAACTTCTCATATGCTAACTTTTTCTCCCTTACTACTCTCTTTACATCATCATTCCACAAATCGCTCCTCTTCCCTCCTGCACCTTATATTACCCAGTAATAACGAGGGGATAAATAATCATATACAGCAGTTCTAATTTATTTGTTGTATTTCTGAAATATTTTACAAATATTTTAGTAAAAAATTATACGATATCACATTCAGAAATACTGTAACTAATATATTTGACCTTGTTTGTTGTATTTCAGTGTTGCATAATATTGATACCATTGACCTTCATGCTTGTGACTCTCACTTTATGGTACTGAAGCTCCCTCCCCTTCCTCAGATCAAACCTGATTACCTCCCGTTTCCCAGGTACTGTAACACTTTTATGGGTTTAGCGCTTTCTCATATATAAAAATATTTATGCTCTTTCCGAAGGAAGGTTATTGATATGTTGCAGTTTTATAAGTGTAGTGTAGACGCGCCTCCGGCAAGACAGTGATGGAGTGAATAATGATGAAAGTGGTTTTTTTTTTTGGGGGGGGGGGGGTCACCCTACCTAGGTGGAAAACGGCCAATTTGTTAATAAAAAAATGAATTAATACTCAATAATGACCCACATGGAGAGACAAACTCAGGAGTTTAATTGACCTGTATACGGTGGACCCCCGCTTAACGATCACCTCCAAATGCGACCAATTATGTAAGTGTATTTATGTAAGTGCGTTTGTACGTGTATGTTTGGGGGTCTGAAATGGACTAATCTACTTCACAATATTCCTTATGGGAAAAAATTCGGTCAGTACTGGCACCTGAACATACTACTGGAATGAAAAAAGTTCGTTAACCAGGGGTCCACTGTATTTCGACCCTCTTCTGGGGTCCTCTTCAGCTGATCTACTGAAGAGGACCCCAGAAGGTGGTCAAAATATACAGATGAATTGCTCTCCTGAGTTTTTGTTTCCAAGTGGGTTATAAATTAGCATTTATTTCTTATTAACAAATATTAATAGCTAAGATTGCTGAGACACGACTGAATTTAATGAAGAAAATTCAACACAGCCGAAGTTATAAGAGTATTATGCTATTTCTGGGGAAGCGCTAAACCCATAGGGGCCATAGAGTATCTGAGGAATGAGAGGCAATCAGGTTCGATTCAAGGCAAGGAAGATTGTTATTAGAATCACCGTTAAACTGATAGGAGACATACAGCGCCTGGGAATACTGAAGGTATTCAGGCTGACTTCAAGGTATTCAGGCTGACTTCAAGGTATTCAGGCTGACTTCAAGGTATTCAGGCTGACTTCAAGGTATTCAGGCTGACTTCAAGGTATTCAGGCTGACTTCAAGGTATTCAGGCTGACTTCAAGGTATTCAGGCTGACTTCAAGGTATTCAGGCTGACTTCAAGGTATTCAGGCTGACTTCAAGGTATTCAGGCTGACTTCAAGGTATTCAGGCTGACTTCAAGGTACTAGAATACACAGGTCCAGCTTCTGAGATCAAGAACCCCTCATCAAAATCAAGGAACCTACCAGATCCTTATATCAAGAACCCCTCACCAGCATCAAGGAACATTCACAGGAAAGAAAGAGCTCCACTTCCCATGATCAAGAGCTATCTGACCATCATCAAGCACCGACCTTGAAGGGAACAACATTAAAAAAATTTTCTACCATATACAAACAAACAAGACTTAACCTATTACACTTAAAACTACTAAGCACCTCTCATGTCATCTGTAGGCCTATTATATATCCTTTTTTTTTTATTAATTTTTGTACAGTAGGATCCCCGTATCCACAGAGGATATGTTCCAAGGACCTGCCATGGATACTGAAACTGAGGACGGTAGCAAACCATATACAGTGGACCCCCGCATAACGATATTATTTCAATCCAGAAGTCTGTTTGGGTGCCGTTATAGACCGAATTTGTTCCCATAAGAAATATTGTGAATTAGATTAGTCCATTTCAGACCCCTAAAAATACACCTACAAAAGCACTTACAAAAATAAACTTACATAATTGGTCGAGTTGGGAGCTGATCGTTATCCGGGGGTCCACTGTACAGTGGACCCCCGGATAACGATCAGCTCCCAATGCGACCAATTATGTAAGTGTATTTATGTAAGTGTGTTTGTACGTGTATGTTTGGGGGTCTAAAATGGACTAATCTACTTCACAATATTCCTTATGGGAACAAATTCAGTCAGTAATGGCACCTGAACATACTTCTGGAATGAAAAAATATCGTTAACCGAGGGTCCACTGTATATAAGTCGTTTTTCATTTATATTATTATGAAATTTAATTGATAAATTATGCACAATAAGTGGATAATTATCACATTTTCACTGACAGAAAGCACTTTGTGGCTTCTCTGAGGCTTTGAAAAATTTCACCATCACTAATTTTGTACTCTAAGGCCATTATTTTGAAAAATTAAGGATTATTCTTGGGACACGGTAAACTGTAGATAATGAAATCGCAGATACCAGACCCGTGGATATGGGGATCGTTTTGTATATTTCATTTATAACATCAGTTGGCATCTTTTAAAGCTTATATATTGTGTTTTTTTGTTAAAATACCACAGATGAAGTGAATTATAAACTTCGTAGTACTTATTATGAAGGCTCTTCAATGTACTAAAATTTCAATATACTTTTTCTGTCGCATTTACAAATAAAAACGCACCACATTAGAAGAGGTGATCACTAGTGTTATTGTACAGATTACTGCAATGTTTTGTTGGTAAGAAGTCAACAATATTACGATGTCTTTATATATTTGCAATGACATCACTAAGTTTGCAATCAACAATATCACGATGTCTTTATATATTTGCAATGACATCACTAAGTTTGCAAAACAATGATGTCATTATTTTAAGAACAGATACATCTCAGTTATTTTGACACATTAACAATATATGAGGGGTAACAGATATTTGACTCATGAAATCGTAATGACACGATTGCAAGCAAACCATACCACGGGCGGGATTTGAACCCGCGGTCAGAGAGTCTCAAAACTCCGGACCGTCACGTTAGCCACTGGACCAGCGGGTTCAAATCCCGCCCGTGGTATGGTTTAAGAGATATTTACCATTAAGAGGGGCATCTTACCTGTCATATCTGTGCACCTCTGGCAAGACAGTGATAGTGTGAATAATGGTGAAAGTGTTTCTTTTTTGGATCACCCTGCCTATATAAATTACTAAATTTAAAAAGAAAAGCTTTTGCTTTTCTTTTTAGGTCACTCGGCCTCGGTGGGATATGGCTAGTTTGTTGAAAAAAAATATTATATATATATATATATATGTATATATATATATATATATATATATATATATATATATATATATATATATATATATATATATATATATATATATGTAAATCACATGTGTGTCAGTCAAGTATATTTTGGAATGTTTGTTTCCACAGCTAAATTAATAATTTATACTAAAAAATCAGAGCCTTTAAAACTGCCGCATGACGGAAAATCTGGCGGTGCCTTCGGCATGTCTTCGTTGTTTCCGATTTTGATGACTAAATCCATACCAGCTACAGAGTGGAACAACAGATGGCAGTGTAGCAACCAGTAGCCTGTAACACATGAAATAATAATATCAAATTTTTGTGAGTATAAATTCTCAGTTGAAAGGATTTCAGAAATACGTATAGGATGGAAATGCATTGGTTTGGTTGATTAAAAAACGACTAAGTTCATTGTTGCTTGAATTGTATTAAGAAGAAAATGGTACAATACTGTGATTCAAACAATACACAAATACAGTGGACCCCCGGTTAACGAACTTTTTTCATTCCAGAAGTATGTTCAGGTGCCAGTACTGACCGAATTTGTTCCCATAAGGAATATTGTGAAGTAGATTAGTCCATTTTAGACCCCCAAACATACACGTACAAACGCACTTACATAAATACACTTACATAATTGGTCGCATTCGGAGGTGATCGTTAAGCGGGGGTCCACTGTAACTCGCAGATAGAAGAGAAAGAACCTTATGACTATGTTTCTGTCCGACTTGGACCATTTGTGTACTAAATTGTATTAATCATTAATAGGAGGAAGTATGGAGTTACCAGATCAATCAGGCTGTGATGGATATATGAGTCAGCAGACCACCACCACCAGCAACAGACTAGTTAAACAGGCAAGCACCAGACAAGCCTGGCCAATGGCTGGGCTCCAGGAGTAGCCTGGTGGCTAAAGCTCTCGCTTCACACACAAAGGGCTCGGGTTTGATTCCCGGCAGGGTAGAAACATTTTGACGTGTTTCCTTACACCTGTTGTCCTGTTCACCTAGCAGCAAATAGGTACTACCTGGGTGTTAGTCGACTGGTGTGGGTCGCATCCTGGGGGACAAGATTGAGGACCACAATGGAAATAAGTTAGACAGTCCTCGATGACGCATTGACTTTCTTGGGTTATCTTGGGTGGCTAACCCTCCGAGGTTAGAAACCTGAAGAAAATCTTATCTTATCTTACTGAACTGAAGTACAGTGGTACCCCGAGTTTCTTACAGCTCCCAACTCAAACAGTTATGTAAGTGTTTTTGTGAGTGTATTTTTGGGGGTCTGAAATGGACTAATCCAATTTACATTATCCCTTATGGGAACAAATTCTTTTGGTAATGGTACTCGAGCAGCCTTCTGGAACGAATTTTGTACGAAACTTGGGGTACCACCGTATTATACGTCCTATGATTGGCAGCAATGTACTTAATGGTAAGTAGTAAATAGAGGAAAATGATGTACAGAACACTGTAAATACAGAATTACAGTGGACCCCGCTTAACGATCACCTCCAAATGCGACCAATTATGTAAGTGTATTTATGTAAGTGCGTTTGTACGTGTATGTTTGGGGGTCTGAAATGGACTAACCTACTTCACAATATTCCTTATGGGAACAAATTCGGTCAGTACTGGCACCTGAACACACTTCTGGAATGAAAAAATATCGTTAACCGGGGGTCCACTGTAACTCTAAATATGGTGCTGTCACCTTTCCCTTACACAACTGTTGAGGGAAAATCTGGACAACGACGGAAAAGTGGTAAAAGCTCTAAACAGTGCCTCAGTTGAAAGCTGAAAAGAGGTGATGTATAGGCCAGGACCTCCTGTATGAACTTACACAGGAAAACAAACAATATATTACCTGGGTTACTTGCGCGGAATCTGACCACTGTGTAGCCTCCATCAGGCAGTGTGACGGTGTCTTTATACACTGGATGATCAAAATTTCTTTTCAGTTCCCCATTTTTGTCCATCTCTATAACCTACAAAGAAAAAATTAGCATAAAAAACTTGTTTTGTAATTTTTTTAATTTGTACCCATTATTAGGTAATCCACATATGCAACAGTAAGGTATCTTTATTTCAAAACGTTTCGCCTACACAGTAGGCTTCTTCAGTCGAGTACAGAAAAGTTGATAGAAGCAGAAGAGACTTGAAAACGATGTAACCAGTCCATCACCCTTGTACCCATTGTTGAGTGTGGGCACTGTGCTTCCCACCTCCAGGATTTAAAACCAGTTATTATTCAATATCAGCTCAAACTTCCTGTGGTAATAATGTTCCTAAGGCAGTATGTGTTAATTACAGTACTTGGATCACTCTGCTGTGGTGGGAATTTACTGCCGTAGTAGAGTGAGCCAAGTCTACCATCAAAATTGGGTGATCCAAATCTCATGCTACAGAGTGATCCAAGTCTCACACTGAAGTTGGGTGATTAAGAAGAAACAGTCACCATCATTCATTCAATCACTATCTTGCCAGAAGTGTACTGACATCAGTTCAGATGTCCCTCCAAATTAACATCCTCACCCATCTTTCAGAGTCTACCTGGAGTATAGGCACCATACTTTATACATTATATCTTTAATGCAGTAATCGTGAATGAGCGATAGCAGATACAAAATAACCACAGAGGGAGTTGAATCATAGCTCTAGGCCTTTCATGTTGCAGTCAACACTATCATCAGGAGCTTGCAATGTTGCAGAAATAGAGTAGGAAATCCAGGTAGATTTGGTCACAAAAACAATTCTCTCATTTAAATAATGATTCTATCCTGTGCATTACTGTACACAGGTGCTCGTCGACACTGTACACAGGTGCTCGTCGACACTGTACACAGGTGCTCGTCGACACTGTACACAGGTGCTCGTCGACACTGTACACAGGTGCTCGTCGACACTGTACACAGGTGCTCGTCGACACTGTACACAGGTGCTCGTCGACACTGTACACAGGTGCTCGTCGACACTGTACACAGGTGCTCGTCGACACTGTACACAGGTGCTCGTCGACTTACACTTGGGTCACGTTCTGACAAACCATTCTAAGTTAAAAAATCGTAAGTCGACCATGAATATTATAAGCAAATGATTAACTACTGTCACTGAATAAGTAAATAAATTATTACTGTAACTAACTAATTAACAGTATTGAAAAGTAAATAAATGAATACAAGTTATGTACTTGTTACCTTCATCTCCAAAGTACAGTGGAACCTCAAATATCGAACTTTCTTCAGTCCAGAAGGCTGTCCAAGTGCCTTTACCGAATGAATTTATTCCCATCAGGAATAATGTAAATTAGATTAGTCCATTTCAGACCCTCAAAAATACACTTATAAAAGCACTTACAAAAATACACTTACATAATTGGTCGTGTTGGGAGCAGTTCGATTTTTGAGGTTCCACTGTAATTGATTTTGCACCATCGAGGAGTTGAAATACCGTAATTCAAGGAGAATCTGTATTGTTGTTAGATAAAAGGACACAAGTGCAACTAATGTGACATTTTATTGTGGCAACGTTTTGCTCTTCAGAAGTTTTATTAAGCTGTTGGTAATGGCTTGATAAAGCTCCTGGAGAGCAAAACGTTGCCAAAATAAAATGTCAGGTAATGTCGGTAATTCTACCTACATTAATACAACCTGTATTGTTATTACTAACCTGATTGCGTGTGATGTTAGCATCAACAACATCGTTGGGTCGGTCTTCACCAAGTACCCAGAAGTACTCGCCGTGGAGATGAATGGGATGGTTCTCGTCACCATACTGCCCTAGGATCAAAATATTCTTTGGTTTTTCACTTATAACTTTCATGTAGTAAGCTCTCTTACAACACTTTTCCATATACAGTGGACCCCCGGTTTACGATATTATTTCATTCCAGAAGTATGTTCAGGTGCCAGTACTGACCGAATTTGTTCCCATAAGGAATATTGTGAAGTAGGTTAGTCCATTTCAGACCCCCAAACATACACGTACAAATGCACTTACATAAATACACTTACATAATTGGTCGCATTGGGAGGTGATCGTAAAGCGGGGGTCCACTGTACTATATTTTTCAATAATGCGATTGAAAAATTTCATCCAGAATTGAAGAGTGTTGTATGAAGGCCTTGCCATCCGCTGTTCAATTGTGGATGTACTTTTTTCAATTACATATACAAAATATTACACCATATAAGATATGACTGTATACAGGATTTGTATTTGATCAATTTATATCTGATCAGTTTTGTAAATTTTTATATTGTTTTACTAATCAGCAGTTGCATGACACTTTGTAGACCTATGTCTTGAGTAGGCAAATAGGCCTACAATGTATGGGAATGTACAGTGGACCCTTGGTTTACGATCAGCTCCCAATGCGACCAGTTATGTAAGTGTATTTATGTAAGTGCGTTTGTACGTGTATGTTTGGGGGTCTGAAATGGACTAATCTACTTCACAATATTCCTTATGGGAACAAATTCGGTCAGTACTGGCACCTGAACATACTTCTGGAGTGAAAAAATATCGTAAACCGGGAGTCCACTGTATAAACAAGAGTGTAATACATTGTAGTTTAAAAAAAATTATTGTTTTTCCATCAAGCACCAATTCTTGATGCTGGTGAAGGGTCCTTGATCCAAAGATTTAGAGCTTCCCTCACCTTTATCAGATCAACCCTTCCAGGTTTAGTGCTTCCCCATGAATACAGTATTAGAGTAATATTAATATTACTTTGACTAGATATGTTAAATTTTACAAAAATTAAGTCTGTTATTTATGTATAATAGACGTTAAAAATTACATTCACATTTATAATGCTTGAAATTTATTTCTAAAGATAATTTTGTTATTATTCTTGCAGAGATGTTCAGTCAAAGACTAACCTTCGTCAATCAGCACCAGGTCAACAACCGAGCCTAGCGGAATAGAGTACATGTGGAGACACTCACAGTAGTCACCATTACAGTTCTTCTCCAGTGGAGTTAACTCTGCGGTACAGATGCGTTCCTCAACACTCTGACCTCCGAGTAACATAGGAGTGGCTGGCAGTACTAGGGAGAGGTTGTTGATCTGTGGTGTGGGGATCTGCTGCGCTTCTTCCACTGTAAGTTAATACAAGAGTGATTCAAGTATAACTAGCAAGTTTATATAGTGACAACTTGATATATAATCTGCCTAACTCTGCTGGGCCTTTGATGAGTTCCGAGAGATTTTCTACTCCCAGAACCCGGCTTTAGGCTTCTTGCGATTAAAGATACACAAGCAAACATTTTGAACATTCATTACGGCAGTGCTGTGGCCCTGAGAATATTTCATTATCAAAATGGAATGACAGTGTTCATTCATGTGTCTTTAATCACAGGAAGTTTATAGTCTACTGTAATCACAAAAAAGTATTTAAATATTAAACAAAAATAATAGCATACCTTCCTTTCATAGCAAGGAATTCATGAGAATGTAAGATATTATTTGTGGTGCCTATAAGTACAGTGGACCCCCGCATAACGATCACCTCCGAATGCGACCAATTATGTAAGTGTATTAATGTAAGTGCATTTGTACGTGTATGTTTGGGGGTCTGAAATGGACTAATCTACTTCACAATATTTCTTATGGGAACAAATTCGGTCAGTACTGGCACCTGAACATACTTCTGGAGTGAAAAAATATCGTTAACCGGGGGTCCACTGTACCTGTATTTTTGTATATTACTGGGACTTAGAGATTAGTGGTGGGTATCTGTGTAATAACAAGCACTGGTTGGTCACTAGTGGGCCCCCAGACCTCTTAAGCTAATATATATTAAGATAATATATATCTTAATATATATTAGTGCCTGCACTCTGAAGGAGGAGTGTTAATGTTGCAGTTTAAAAACTGTAGTGTAAAGCACCCTTCTGGCAAGACAGTGATGGAGTGAATGATGGTGAAAGTTTTTCTTTTTCGGGCCACCCTGCCTTGGTGGGAATCGGCCAGTGTGTTAATAAAAATAATAAAATATTTGTCACAATCAAAACCAGTCAATGTGTATAAAGTATTGACGTATTTTTTCACCAAAAATCCTTACTCAAGAGAGAAACCTCGTGATGACATTTTGGTGGTTGATGTTCCGCCACCGCCTCTGTTGCTCTCACTTCCTTTTTCCTTCACCTCTTCTTTACTTTTTTCACCCCATTTGTGACTTGGCAATTTACCATACTATCTTCAGGTCTTCATTATTTTTTCACCCCAGTTGTGACTTAACAATGGTTCGAACGGACTGAAACATTGTCGCAAACTTCAATTCCTAAGTACGTACAGGTTTTTGATGAACTGTTCCAGTCTCATTACTCTGACTTTATTCTTGGCTCATTTCCAGAACCAGTAAATCATATAATTCTCATAATCCAACATAACATTTAATAGAACTAAATTTTTTTTTGTGACCCGAAAAAGAAAAAATATGACATTTTTTCTTCTTTTTACATTTTGTAACTGACGGACTTTAAGCTTACCTAAATCAAAATCATAATAAATTTGAGAGTAGAAATGAGAATTATGTATCCTGCGCATTTCAAAGGCGAGATAGAAGGTGAAGTTAGCCTGGGGAGTCTGGAGGTCCTTGGGCAGTGGGTAGAGTGATCGTAGGTCAGCAACACAAATGAGGTCATCATAGCAGGCACTGTTGATACTGTTAACTTGCTGGAAAGAAATAAACCATACCACGGGTCATTGTGATTACGTGAGTCAACAAAAGATATAATTTTTATTAGCCACAAACTTCACAAACATCAACAATAATAATTTTTATTTTTACAAGTACAGTGGAACCTCAAATATCGAACTTTCTTTGTTCCAGACAGCTGTTCGAGTGCCGTTACCAAACGAATTTATTCCCATCAGGAATAATGTAAATTAGATTAGTTGATTTCAGACCCTCAAAAATATACTTATAACAGCACTTACAAAAATACCCTTACATAATTGGTTGAGTTGGGAGCAGTTCGATATTTGAGGTTCCACTGTACAGGCCATAGCTGTAGATGATTGGTTCAAAGGACCGACATGTTGTTAAATTAGACACATGTGTAACTCTTGGGTATCTTTATTAAGGAAACGTTTCCTCAATAAAGATACCCAAGAGTTGCACATGTGTCTAATTTAACAACAGACCATAGCTGACATCAGTGACATACTATATTGAAAGTTCCTTGTTAGGTAGAGCATTTGAGGCAAATTAGGTCAATTTCGTCTCCAGGATGCGACCCACACCAATCGACAACCAGATACGTACTTACTGCTAGGTGAACACTGACAGCAGGTGTAAGGTGACTACACCCAGGTACCTACTTACTGCTGGGTGAACACTGACAGCAGGTGTAAGGTGACTAAAACCCAGGTACCTACTTACTGCTAGGTGAATGCTGACAGCAGATGTAAGGTGACTACACTCAGGTACCTACTTACTACTAGGTGAGCACCGACAGCAGGTGTAAGGTGACTACACCCAGGTACCTACTTACTGCTAGGTGAACACTGACAGCAAGTAAAAGATAACTAACACCCAGGTACCTACTTACTGCTAGGTGAACACTGACAGCAAGTAAAAGATAACTAACACCCAGGTACCTACTTACTGCTAGGTGAACACTGACAGCAGGTATAACTAACACCTAGGTACCTACTTACTGCTAGGTGAACACTGACAGCAAGTAAAAGATAATTAACACCTAGGTACCTACTTACTGCTAGGTGAACACTGACAACAGGTAAAAGATAACTAACACCCAGGTACCTACTTACTGCTAGGTGAACACTGACAACAGGTAAAAGATAACTAACACCTAGGTACCTACTTACTGCTAGGTGAACACTGACAGCAAATAAAAGATAACTAACACCCAGGTACCTACTTACTGCTAGGTGAACACTGACAGCAGGTATAAGGTGAGCTTCTTTCTAATTTCTCAGCATTTCAAAACACATTGGAAAAACATTTAAACAGAGAGAAGTCAGTCAAAATCAAAATATCTAAAATTTGATGTTTTGGGCCATACTGGACACCTCCCACTAAAGTAGGCTAATCAAAAAAATATATATATACCACTACTCCATTTTATATCACATGTGATTTTTAATGTACAAAGATTAAATGTTATTTATATATTTTTAATCAGAAATTAGGTGTAAGGTTACCCGAAATGCCTTGCATAATAACGGGCTTTATAAAGTAGTAATTTATGTCATTCACATTAATTATATAATATACTGTACTCAGCTTTATAGAAATAAAGTTTGATTGCAAAAAATTATCAATTTTTTTTTATTTTTATAGATAAATTACTTTAAGAGCATATGCAAAAAACTAATAAAACAAAAAATAAATATGGACTTATAAATAATTATTTGTTAAATACGTAGCGACTTTATAAAGACCCTCACGATTTGCTTTATACAATTTTTAGGAATGACTCGGACAGAGAAAAAACATGACACTCAAATATTGTATCTCATTCACACTGTTATCCTTTATATTTCCTTCTCTTACTGTAATTAAAAAAAACCATGGAACAGGTGGGGTTTGATCCATGGTGGGTGATTCATAACACTCCAGGCCACTCACCATCACTCACTTGCCGCGGGTTCAAAACTCACCCATTCCATGGTTTGTTTGTATTTGTGTTATTATGATTTTGTGAGTCTTACTGTAGTTATATAGTCGTCAGCACAAGTGAAGTTCCGCTCAGTAATACAGTGGACCCCCGGTTAACGATATTTTTTCACTCCAGAAGTATGTTCAGGTGCCAGTACTGACCGAATTTGTTCCCATAAGGAATATTGTGAAGTAAATTAGTCCATTTCAGACCCCCAAACATACACGTACAAACGCACTTACATAAATACACTTACATAATTGGTCGCATTCAGAGGTGATCGTTATGCGGGGGTCCACTGTATACCATAGATTTTTCCCTTAGTACAAAACGATTAAGTGATCATTAGATCACAGTATACGAATACTATTTCTTTTCTGCAGTAAACAATGTGTAGTTTACATGTCTAGGTACAACATCAATTTTCTGGACATTGATGGTCCAGAAACGCTTATAATCCATACAAATTTACGAGCAGAAACTTGAAATTTCCACTGCAGTGTATTTACCACCCAACTGCACGTCACTTGTCCAGCCCCGACACCAAGGAATACTACGCTCTCTAAAGGCAGAAAACTCAGTAATCTGGAAAGGCTTTGGAACCAAAGGGTCAGAAAAATTGATGTTGTACCTGTAATAGAATATTGTTAAGAACAAAAGAAAGCCACTAACCTGCAGTGCATTTTGATCAAACTAATCCTAATCCTCTATCCCTTCCTTCCCTCCACTCCAGATTTATATATCCTAGTCATCCTATTTTTCTCCATTCTCTCTAAATGTCCAAACCCCCTCAACAATCTTCAGACTTCTTTCTTCTTCTTTCAACAAACCGGCCGTATCCCACCAAGGCAGGGTGACCCAAAAAGAAAAACAAAAGTTTTTCTTTTAACCTTAGTAGTGTATACAGGAGAAGGGGTTACTAGCCCCTTGCTCCCAGTATTTTGGTTACCTCTTACAACACGTATGACTTACAGAGAAATAATTCTGTTCCACTTCCCCATGGAGATAAGAGGAAATAAACAAGAACAAGAACTAGTAAGGAAATGGAAGAAAACTCAGAGGGGTGTGTATATATATGTTTGTACATGTATGTGCAGTGTGACCTAAGTGTAAGTAGAAAGAGCAAGATGTACCTGAAATCTTGTGTGTTTATGAGACAGAAAAAACACACCAGCAATCCTACCATCATGTAAAACAATTACAGGCTTCTGTTTTACACTCACTTGGCAGGACGGTAGTACCTCCCTGGGCGGTTGCTGTCTACCAACCTACTACCACAGGATGGTAGTACCTCCCTGGGTGGTTGTTGTCTACCAACCTACTACCACAGGACGGTAGTACCTCCCTGGGTGGTTGTTGTCTACCAACCTACTACCACAGGACAGTAGTTCCTCCCTGGGTGGTTGTTGTCTACCAACCTACTACCACAGGATGGTAGTACCTCCCTGGGCGGTTGCTGTCTACCAACCTACTACCACAGGATGGTAGTACCTCCCTGGGCAGTTGCTGTCTACCAACCTACTACCACAGGATGGTAGTACCTCCCTGGGTGGTTGCTGTCTACTAACCTACTACCACAGGATGGTAGTACCTCCCTGGGTGGTTGCTGTCTACTAACCTACTACCATAGGATGGTAGTACCTCCCTGTGTGGTTGCTGTCTACTAACCTACTACCACAGGATGGTAGTACCTCCCTGGGTGGTTGCTGTCTACTAACCTACTACCACAGGATGGTAGTACCTCCCTGGGTGGTTGTTGTCTACTAACCTACTACCACAGGATGGTAGTACCTCCCTGGGTGGTTGCTGTCTACTAACCTACTACCACAGGATGGTAGTACCTCCCTGGGTGGTTGCTGTCTACTAACCTACTACCACAGGATGGTAGTACCTCCCTGGGTGGTTGCTGTCTACTAACCTACTACCACAGGATGGTAGTACCTCCCTGGGTGGTTGCTGTCTACTAACCTACTACCTAGGGCAATACAAGACCTCTTTTCGGTGGTCTACACTTTCATTAGCTTTTAAATGAACCATTGTTCCACCCACCAGTGAAAATTGTCAGTGTGGAACATAATGAACAATGAATATAATGAACAATGGCCCAATTTGAAGCCAATAAAACAGTGGAACACTGAAAAGAAGATGCAGTATATGCAGGTTGCTGCTGTAGTGTCAATACTCACTGTTCCAGCAGGTGGAACCTCGGTGAACTTTGGCTTGGGCGGCATGTCATGTAGCAACGTACTCTCATTAACACTTGCTGTCCTGTCGTACTCCAAGATGGCAAACTGGTGAGCTTCAGTTTCTGCACAGTCAACTCCTCCCATGAAGCTCATCCAGAAAGCTCCAGACTTATTAATATCAGCATGAACCACAATATCCCATCTCTCTCCTGCAGTTTATAAATTTAGCTATTAGAAAAATATGCTTATCCATAACAAACAAAAATTAAAAATTCTATAGCCATGCATAATGATATACAGTGGACTCCCGCTTAACGATCGCCACCCAATGCGACCAATTATGTAAGTGTATTTATGTAAGTGCGTTTGTACGTGTATGTTTGGGGGTCTGAAATGGACTAATCTACTTCACAATATTCCTTATGGGAACAAATTCGGTCAGTAATGGCACCTGAACATACTTCTGGAATGAAAAAATATCGTTAACCGGGGGTCCACTGTATTACTATTTCTACAGAAGGGCCCCCGCTTTACAGCACTTTGCTTAACAGCGTTTCGCTAATACAGCAGTTTTCAATTACAGTAGTACCTTAGGATACAAATTTTTTTCGTTCCAGAAGGCTGTTCGAGTGCTGATACCAAACGAATTTGTTCCCATAAGGAATAATGTAAACCAGATTATGTCATTTCAGACCCCCAAAAGTACACTTACAAAAACACTTACATAAATACACTTACATAATTTTACAAGTTTTGAGCTGTTCGTATCCCGAGGTACCACTGTATACCCATTTTTCATTTATTCAGACTTCCTACAATAAATATATTCACCACTCACTATAAGCTAAGGACGAGAATATTTTAAGGTAAGTAATGTGTATACTATACATGTACAGTTGACCCCCGGTTAACGATATTTTTTCACTCCAGAAGTATGTTCAGGTGCCAGTACTGACCGAATTTGTTCCCATAAGAAATATTGTGAAGTAGATTAGTCCATTTCAGACCCCCAAACATACACGTACAAACGCACTTACATAAATACACTTACATAATTGGTCGCATTCGGAGGTAATCGTTATGCGGGGGTCCACTATATTTTTATAAACGACACTTCCCTACCCGGGGAGCCAATTCCGGGTCATCAAATTGGAAGAGACCCAGGCTGAGATCCATACTGGCAAATCAAATAGAATAGAATGTATTTTTAGGCCTAGTTACGTTTCTCACTTAATATATGATAGTGTAAATGTGTTAACAGGCTTTTATACGCATTTGAAAAGTAAAAAATGCCACGATTCACTTTACAGTGATTTTTGCTTTACATCAGTAGCCCAGAACCTAACCTGCTGTATAAGTGGGGCCCTACAGTAGCCCAGAACCTAACCTGCTGTATAAGTGGGGCCCTACAGTAGCCCAGAACCTAACCTGCTGTATAAGTGGGGCCCTACAGTAGCCCAGAACCTAATCTGCTGTATAAGTGGGGCCCTACAGTAGCCCAGAACCTAACCTGCTGTATAAGTGGGGCCATACAGTAGCCCAGAACCTAATCTGCTATATAAGTGGGGCCCTACAGTAGCCCAGAACCTAATCTGCTGTATAAGTGGGGCCCTACAGTAGCCCAGAACCTAACCTGCTGTATAAGTGGGGCCCTACAGTAGCCCAGAACCTAACCTGCTGTATAAGTGGGGCCCTACAGTAGCCCAGAACCTAACCTGCTGTATAAGTGGGGCCATACAGTAGCCCAGAACCTAATCTGCTATATAAATGGGGCCCTACAGTAGCCCAGAACCTAATCTGCTGTATAAGTGGGGCCCTACAGTAGCCCAGAACCTAATCTGCTGTATAAGTGGGGCCCTACAGTAGCCCAGAACCTAATCTGCTGTATAAGTGGGGCCCTACAGTAGCCCAGAACCTAATCTGCTGTATAAGTGAGGCCCTACAGTAGCCCAGAACCTAACCTGCTGTATAAGTGGGGCCATACAGTAGCCCAGAACCTAATCTGCTATATAAGTGGGGCCCTACAGTAGCCCAGAACCTAATCTGCTGTATAAGTGGGGCCCTACAGTAGCCCAGAACCTAATCTGCTGTATAAGTGGGGCCCTACAGTAGCCCAGAACCTAATCTGCTGTATAAGTGGGGTCCTACAGTAGCCCAGAACCTAATCTGCTGTATAAGTGGGGGCCCTACAGTAGCCCAGAACCTAATCTGCTGTATAAGTGGGGGCCCTACAGTAGCCCAGAACCTAATCTGCTGTATAAGTGGGGCCCTACAGTAGCCCAGAACCTAATCTGCTGTATAAGTGGGGCCCTACAGTAGCCCAGAACCTAATCTGCTGTATAAGTGGGGCCCTACAGTAGCCCAGAACCTAATCTGCTACATAAGCAGGGCCCTACAGTAGCCCAGAATCTAAGCTGCTATATAAGTGGGGTCCTACAGTAGCCCAGAACTTAACCTGCTACATAAGCAGGGCTCTACAGTAGCCCAGAATCTAAGCTGCTATATAAGTGGGGTCCTACAGTAGCCCAGAACTTAACCTGCTACATAAGCAGGGCTCTACAGTAGCCCAGAATCTAACCTGCTATATAAGTGGGGCCCTACAGTAGCCCAGAACCTAACCTGCTGTATAACGTTTATTGCAATTGTAGATTTAAATAAGGCTTAAGCTTACCCAAAATGCTCTGCATAACCCTGGGCTTTCAGCATGAATAGTCAAGTGTTGTCAGGTTCTGTACAAACACTCCATCATGTGGAAATAAATTTTTCAATTTTGACTTTTCAATTTTAACTTTCACTACTCTATATAAGCTACTTTTCAGTGCATGAATACTATATACACTACAGCCTCTCCTCACTTAACGACGGAGTTCCATTCCTAAGAACTCGTTGGTAAACAAATTCGTCACTAAGTGAGGAGCATACTATAATGTTAGTGGATTTGTCAAACATCTTTGATATTGCTTTAATGTCACCTTTGCACCATTTATAACATTTCTGGTATATTTTTAAATGTTTATACAGTAGTGTACTGTATATTGAAATAAACAGAATAGAGGAAATCAGCTCTAATATACATTATTTAGGTATGAATACTGGTCAGAGAGCCCATCGTAAACCCGAGTCGTTGGTAAATGAGTACGTCGCTAAGCGAGGAGAGGCTTGTACTGTATACAGTGGACCCCCGCATAACGATTACCTCCGAATGCGACCAATTATGTAAGTGTATTTAAGTAAGTGCGTTTGTACGTGTATGTTTGGGGGTCTGAAATGGACTAATCTACTTCACAATATTTCTTATGGGAACAAATTCGGTCAGTACTGGCACCTGAACATACTTCTGGAGTGAAAAAATATCGTTAACCGGGGGTCCACTGTATATCAGGACCAAATTTTGAGTTTCCATTCATTCTTCTGTTTATTCATTGGTAGTCAGTCATTATTATTAATATTCTTGAGTTTGCTATAAAATCAAAATCAAATTCAACTATGCCACTACTGGTATATACTCAAGAAATCTCTCATTCATTCAGAGTTCTTTATTACAGTTTTAATTAATAAAATGGATGATATTAATTGATCTGTTTCCTCTAGTAAATTTACGAAGCTACTAAAGTGCTGTTATTGGTACCGTCCATCACACCAATAATAATATTCAATCAGTAAATAAAAAAAATATTAGTACATCCATTGGCAAACGAATTTCATCAACAGTTTCCCATTTTGTGACAGAGTACAGTCCCTGAAGTACAGTCCCTATATTACAGTCCTTGAAGTACAGTCCCTGAAGTACAGTCCCTATATTACAGTCCTTGAAGTACAGTCCCTGAAGTACAGTCCCTATATTACAGTCCTTGAAGTACAGTCCCTGAAGTACAGTCCCTATATTACAGTCCTTGAAGTACAATCCCTGAAGTACAGTCCCTATATTACAGTCCTTGAAGTACAGTCCCTGAAGTACAGTCCTTGACATACAGTCCCTGAAGTACAGTCCTTGACGTACAGTCCCTGAAGTACAGTCCCTATATTACAGTCCCTGAAGTACAGTCCCTATATTACAGTCCCTGAAGTACAGTCCCTATATTACAGTCCTTGAAGTACAGTCCCTGAAGTACAGTCCTTGACGTACAGTCCCTGAAGTACAGTCCTTGACTTACAGTCCCTGAAGTACAGTCCCTATATTACAGTCCTTGAAGTACAGTCCCTGAAGTACAGTCCCTATATTACAGTCCTTGAAGTACAGTCCCTGAAGTACAGTCCTTGACGTACAGTCCCTGAAGTACAGTCCTTGACTTACAGTCCCTGAAGTACAGTCCCTATATTACAGTCCTTGAAGTACACTCCCTGAAGTACAGTCCCTATATTACAGTCCTTGAAGTACAGTCCCTGAAGTACAGTCCTTGACGTACAGTCCCTGAAGTACAGTCCTTGACATACAGTCCCTGAAGTACAGTCCCTATATTACAGTCCCTGAAGTACAGTCCCTGAAGTACAGTCCCTATATTACAGTTCTTGAAGTACAGTCCCTGAAGTACAGTCCTTGATGTACAGTCCCTGAAATACAGTCCTTGACATACAGTCCCTGAAGTACAGTCCTTGATGTACAGTCCCTGAAGTACAGGCCTCTAAGTACAGTCTTTGAACTACAGTCCTCTGAATACAGTCCCAGTTTGAAGTGTTAATTACCTCTAATGGTATAAGTACAGAGGAACAAGTGTAGGTGTATCATAGTCGAAAATCATTCACAGTTTTTAATGAAAAAAATTTTCAATACTGTATAAAAATAATTTTTTCCGCACATCTTAAGTTGCGCATATTATTATTACAATTATTTCTTTAGGTAAGTGTTAGTGCTAACCTGGGTAAACAACCAGTGATGTGGCATTAACTGGTACTATGGGGTTCCCATCCGCGGCAATAATATTCAGTGTGTGTTGATCGATGGACACAACGATGGGGCAGTTGAGGACGGCTGTGTTGATCAGTCGCATGCGGTATCTGTTACCTGTAAATGTGAATAAGAACATAAGAATGGAGGAATGCTGCAACAGGCCTACTGGATTATAAAAAGGCAAGTGCTTCTCAAAATCAGCCATTCCTACCCACCTATTTGTCGATAAATGAGACACTTGTGGAACATTTGGGTATCTATTCTTTAATATAGACACACAAGTGTCTCATTTATCAACTTGATTTTCCACACTATTTATTCACATGTATTTGTCCAATTTTTACCCAAATCTACCCAAGAATTTGCTTCAGTACATCAGGTACTAATCAAACCCAATCCTCCTCACTCATACATCTGCCTAATCTCTTTTTAAAGCTTCCCAAGATGATCCTTATTCTATCAAATGTGATAATTCACAAGTGTGTAGTTAAGAAAATTACAATTGACCAATAATCTTCTCGCAGGAGGGTACCTTATAATAATTTTTTGGTCTGTCCTGGACTTATATGCGCTAAATGCTAGTTGTTGTTTTTCGTATATTTATTATTTTATTCGCTGTAAACTACAGACTATATCGTATATTGAGAGACTTTATTCTTTATTCAAAATTAATCAACAATTTGCATACGTCCCCGATTACTCAGTGTTTCAGGAAAATAGAAAAGATTAAATATATATAGTTTGTGGATTACAGAGGTGAATTATTTACAGATGTTGTGTGTTTTACACATTTAATAATCAGAAATTACTAAAACTAAATTATTTTATGAATACTGATTATGGTTTTGAAACACTGGTTACATAACAGCAGTACAGCTGAGTTATATTAACAGCAGTACAGCTGAGTTATATTAACAGCAGTACAGCTGAGTTATATTAACAGCAGTACAGCTGAGTTATATTAACAGCAGTACAGCTGAGTTATATTAACAGCAGTACAGCTGAGTTATATTAACAGCAGTACAGCTGAGTTATATTAACAGCAGTACAGCTGAGTTATATTAACAGCAGTACAGCTGAGTTATATTAACAGCAGTACAGCTGAGTTATATTAACAGCAGTACAGCTGAGTTACATTAACAGCAGTACAGCTGAGTTATATTAACAGCAGTACAGCTGAGTTATATTAACAGCAGTACAGCTGAGTTATATTAACAGCAGTACAGCTGAGTTATATTAACAGCAGTACAGCTGAGTTATATTAACAGCAGTACAGCTGAGTTATATTAACAGCAGTACAGCTGAGCCACAAGTAACGAATGTTCATAAAACAGTATTTTGAATGATGACGAAAAGTTTTTTTCCTCTCGTAAAACGTACTCTGTGTCACGTAACATCTGCTGTGTCACATATTTTACCTGCTGTGTCACATATCTTACCTGCTGTGTCACATATCTTACCTGCTGTGTCACATATCTTACCTGCTGTGTCACATATCTTACCTGCTGTGTCACATATCTTACCTGCTGTGTCACATATCTTACCTGCTGTGTCACATATCTTACCTGCTGTGTCACATATCTTACCTGCTGTGTCACATATCTTACCTGCTGTGTCACATAGTAACTTATCTTCTGTGTCACATAACATCTTACCTGTTGTGTCACATATCTTACCTGCTGTGTCACATATTTTACCTGCTCTGTCACATATTTTACCTGCTGTGTCACATATCTTACCTGCTGTGTCACATATCTTACCTGCTGTGTCACATATTTTACCTGCTCTGTCACATATTTTACCTGCTCTGTCACATATTTTACCTGCTGTGTCACATATCTTACCTGCTGTGTCACATGACATCTTACCTGCTGTGTCAAAATAAATAACAAAAAAGGCACAATACCGTGACTGGAACGATACACAAATAACCCGCACATAAAAGAGAGAAGCTTACGACGACGTTTCGGTCCGAAACGTCTACGGTGGGGATGCCCGGGTGTTGTGCATGTGTCATTTCATCCTGTCGGTATTATATACAATTCTTGTACTACTACTACTACTACTACTACTACTACTACTACTACTACTACTACTACTACTACTACTACTACTACTACTACCTCCACCTCTTCCTGCCTATATATAGCCGTCCTGCTCCACCTCTGTTAGTGTGACTTTGTCAATGGTCCAAGTCGGACCGAAACGTCGTCGTAAGCTTCTCTCTTTTATGTGCGGGTTATTTGTGTACTGCTGTGTCACATAACATCTTACCTGTTGTGTCACATATCTTACCTGCTGTAACAGTGAATCGTTTATAAGGAATTAAGGCCGGAAGTGATGCAGGTTCGGCGTGCTGAAACAAAAAATACTTCTTATAGACCAATATAATCACACAAGAAATTATTAAAGATTATCTTTATAATTGCCAGATTATTCAAAATGGTTAAGTTGAACATTGAAATGGTATAAAATACAGACAGGTTGTTAGGTAAGACACATATGCAACAGTTAGGTATCTTTATTATGAAACGTTTCGCCTACTGTGTAGGCGAAACGTTTCATAATAAAGATACCTAACTGTTGCATATGTGTCTTACCTAACAACATGGTTAAGTTGGTTAATGAGTTTAAATGTCTTGTGACTACATGAGGGTCATTAAGAGAAATAAACCTGTTTCTGTATATATAATGACCGTTCAAAATATAAACTGTAAACATCAGAATAAAAATAACTACAGCGTAATTTTAAAATTAAAAATACGGCAGTAATAATAACAGCATAGCAATAATAACAATAATGATAATACAGTAGGGCCCTATTTTACAGCTCTTCACTTTAGAGTTTCGCTAATACAACGGTTTTCAATCTAATTACAATAAATACAGTAGAACCCCCATGTCCACTGATTCAGTATCTACAGTTTCTGTTATCCACAGTTTACTGTGGCCCAGAAATACCTCTTAATTTTGCATAATAATGGCAACAAACAGTGAAGGTAGAGAAGTTGGCAGTTCTTGTGGCCCAGAAATAACTCTTAATTTTGCATAATAATGGCCACAAACAGCGAAGGTAGAGAAGTTGGCAGTTCTTGTGGCCCAGAAATAACTCTTAATTTTGCATAATAATGGCCACAAACAGCAAAGGTAGAGAAGTTGGCAGTTCTTGTGGCCCAGAAATACCTCTTAATTTTGCATAATAATGGCCACAAACAGCAAAGGTAGAGAAGTTGGCAGTTCTTGTGGCCCAGAAATACCTCTTAATTTTGCATAATAATGGCCACAAACAGCAAAGGTAGAGAAGTTGGCAGTTCTTGTGGCCCAGAAATACCTCTTAATTTTGCATAATAATGGCCACAAACAGCGAAGGTAGAGAAGTTGGCAGTTCTTGTGGCCCAGAAATACCTCTTAATTTTGCATAATAATGGCCACAAACAGCAAAGGTAGAGAAGTTGGCAGTTCTTGTGGCCCAGAAATACCTCTTAATTTTGCATAATAATGGCCACAAACAGTGAAGGTAGAGAAGTTGGCAGTTCTTGTGGCCCAGAAATAACTCTTAATTTTGCATAATAATGGCCACAAACAGCGAAGGTAGAGAAGTTGGCAGTTCTTGTGGCCCAGAAATAACTCTTAATTTTGCATAATAATGGCCACAAACAGCGAAGGTAGAGAAGTTGGCAGTTCTTGAAAGCCTAAGAGGAGCTGTGAAATGTTTCCCATCATTGAAAAAGTGATAATTCTCCACTTACTATGCATTATTTGTCAATTAAACTTCATAATAGGTATGTATAGGACTTATATATATGGTTCTCTACCATCCGAGGTTTTGGTATCCACGGCAAGTCTTTGGAAAGTATCCCCTGCGGATATGGGGGTCCTATTGTATATTCATTACTCGCTATTACCTGGAGTTTACCTGGAGAGAGTTCCGGGGGTCAACGCCCCTGCGGCCTGGTCTGTGACTAGGCCTCCTATAAGCTAAGGACAAAAATATTTTAAGTAATGTGTGTATTGTATATGTATTTTTTAGGCCTAGCTGTATTGCTCACTTAATGTGTTTACACTGTCATATATTATCAGGCTTTTATCTTCTTTCTTTCTTTCAATGCACCAGCCATTTCCCACTGAGGCGGGGCGGCCCAAAAGGAAAAACGCAAGTTTCGCCTTTTAAATTTAGTAATATATACAGGAGAAGGGGTTACTAGCCCCTTGTTCTTGGCATTTTAGTCGCCTCTTACGACACTCATGGCTTACAGAGGAAGAATTCTGTTCCACTTCCCCATGGAGAATTATCAGGCTTTTATATGCACTAGAAAATGGAAAAAAAAGCTATGATTCACTTTACAGTAATTTTTGCATTACAGCAGTAGTCTGGAACCTAAGCTGCTGTATAAGTGGGGCCCTGCTTGTTGTATAAGTGGGGCCCTGCTTGTTGTATAAGTGGGGCCCTGCTTGTTGTATAAGTGGGGCCCTGCTTGTTGTATAAGTGGGGCCCTGCTTGTTGTATAAGTGGGGCCCTGCTTGTTGTATAAGTGGGGCCCTGCTTGTTGTATAAGTGGGGCCCTGCTTGTTGTATAAGTGGGGCCCTGCTTGTTGTATAAGTGGGGCCCTGCTTGTATAAGTGGGGCCCTGCTTGTTGTATAAGTGGGGCCCTGCTTGTTGTATAAGTGGGGCCCTGCTTGTTGTATAAGTGGGGCCCTGCTTGTTGTATAAGTGGGGCCCTGCTTGTTGTATAAGTAGGGCCCTGCATGTTGTATAAGTGGGGCCCTGCTTATTGTATAAGTGGGGCCCTGCTTGTTGTATAAGTGGGGCCCTGCTTGTTGTATAAGTGGGGCCCTGCTTGTTGTATAAGTGGGGCCCCTGCTTGTTGTATAAGTGGGGCCCTGCTTGTTGTATAAGTGGGGCCCTGCTTGTTGTATAAGTGGGGCCCTGCTTGTTGTATAAGTGGGGCCCTGCTTGTTGTATAAGTGGGGCCCTGCTTGTTGTATAAGTGGGGCCCTGCTTGTTGTATAAGTGGGGCCCTGCTTGTTGTATAAGTGGGGCCCTGCTTGTTGTATAAGTGGGGCCCTGCTTGTTGTATAAGTGGGGCCCTGCTTGTTGTATAAGTGGGGCCCTGCTTGTTCAGCTATCAGAACCTTGTGGCCCAGTCTCTAGACCCATTATGTGCCTCTGTAATGTTGAGGTACAGTCCCTGGACCCATTATGTGCCTCTGTAATGTTGAGGTACAGTCCCTGGACCCATTATGTGCCTCTGTAATGTTGAGGTACAGTCTCTGGATCCATTATGTGCCTCTGTAATGATGAGGTACAGTCTCTGGACCCATTATGTACCTCTGTAATGTTGAGGTACAGTCTCTGGACCCATTATGTGCCTCTGTAATGTTGAGGTACAGTCCTTGGACCCATTATGTACCTCTGTAATGTTGAGGTACAGTCTCTGGACCCATTATGTGCCTCTGTAATGTTGAGGTACAGTCTCTGGACCCATTATGTGCCTCTGTAATGCTGCAGTACAGTACATGGACCCATTATGTGCCTCTGTAATATTTTGACTACCACCCATAGGATAGGTATGGGGTATATAATAGGTATATTTAAATAACTTTCGCTCAGGTCATATATAAAATTCTTTTTATATTTAGTAATGTATACAAGAGAAGGGGGTTACTAGCCCCTTGCTCCCAGCATTTTAGTCACCTCTTATGACACAAATGGCTTATGGAGGAAGAATTCTTCTCCACTTTCCCATGAAGAAGCATTATTAAAATCAAAACTAAACGCTAAACCCACGAGGGTCATCCAGGCATGGTTCAGTAGACAGTGTTATTGTGTTCTAATACGATGCTAGAATTTAGTTGTGTAACATATAACCATGATGACATGACAGTACAAGAGGGACCCACATATAAAGCACTTCTACACAAATAACCCGCACATAGGAGAAGGAGCTTGTGGCGACGTTTCGGTCCAAGTCGGACTGAAATGTCGTCGTAAGCTCCAGCCACGGTATTGTGTCTTTTTGTTATTTATAAAGCACTATATTTGGTGTTATATATTTTCGTTGTCTTTCAATTGAACCATTGTTCCAACTGCCAGTGACAATCACAGATACCTAAAGTCAGTGCCGGATCAGCCGGGCTGTGGCTCGTACGTCAGACTACGTGCGGCCAGCAGTAACAGCCTAGTTGATCAGGCCCTGATCCATCGGGAGGCCTGGTCGTGGACCGGGCCGCGGGGGCGTTGATCCCCGGAATAACCTCCAGGTAACCTCCAGGTATAATGAACAACGACTCAGTTTGAAGCCAACAAAATCATGGAACACTGAAAAGAAAGTGCTGTATATGCTGTGTCCTCTTGTATACAGTTAAGAAGCCTGCACGAACCTGGTGAGGTCCTTGGCCGTTTACAAGCATGGATTCAGGAAAATCGTCTCCGCCGCTATGATGTCTGAGAATAAACTTATCCAGTGTAGGCATGTGCAGCCAGTCATGGAACTGTAACAAGAACAACAGTACAATTAAAAGCAAAGTAGTATGTACAGTAATTTTTTTCATGTACAGTGGACCCCCGCATAACGATCACCTCCCAATGCGACCAATTATGTAAGTGTATTTATGTAAGTGTATTTATGTAAGTGTGTTTGTACGTGTATGTTTGGGGGTCTGAAATGGACTAATCTACTTCACAATACAGTGGACCCCCGGTTAACGATATTTTTTCACTCCAGAAGTATGTTCAGGTGCCAGTACTGACCGAATTTGTTCCCATAAGAAATATTGTGAAGTAAATTAGTCCATTTCAGACCCCCAAACATACACGTACAAACGCACTTACATAAATACACTTACATAATTGGTCGCATTCGGAGGTAATCGTTATGCGGGGGTCCACTGTATTCCTTATGGGAACAAATTCGGTCAGTACTGGCACCTGAACATACTTCTGGAATGAAAAAATATCGTAAACCGGGGGTCCACTGTACCGGCCGTCTCCCGCCAAGGCACGGAGACCTAAAATTATAAAAACAAAAGTTTTTCTTTTTATATTCAGTAATTTACACAGCAGAAGGGGTTTCTACAGTACATATATTATTTAATTTATTTTTATCACAATAGTTTAGGATAAATATTTATTAATAAAGTATTACATTTACCTAATTCACACTTGTATATCTACATTGTTTATGTTTGAAAATATGTATCTCTAGATCACTATTTTCGTGAAAAAAAATTCTAATTAACCCGTAAACGGTCCAAACGTATATATACGTTTTTTCAACATTTAAAAGTATGTAAAAAAGTAGATCTTTTTGTTTTTTTACATTTGAAAATGTGTAAAAAAACTTTGATCTACTTTTTTTTTTGTTATATTTGAAAATATGTAAAAAAACCGTAGATCTGTTTGGACCGTTTACGGGTTAATAAAGTACACCTAATTCACACTTATATATCTACATTATGTTTGAAAATATATACGTATCTCTAGATCACTATTTTCATGGAAAAAAACTCTAATTAAATACATAAGTTTGGAGAAGGTTTTGAGTAGGCCTGGAAGAAGGCCTATGATGGTATTCATAGGTTAAATAACAGGTAAAAGAATACTAAAATGACATACCATGATCACATGCTGAGGGAAATCATAATCGTATCTATCATGATTGGGGTCGTCAGCCGGCGGTTGCCGCACAATAATAGCACCAAAGACGCCGTCACCTCTTTGGAATCCTGCGAAGAGATACCATAGAGATGTACATTTAAAATCACAGTTACAGTAAATACAATAAAGTACCAGGTTACACAAATAAAAATTAAAAGATTTTTCTGCCTATGATGTTTTTAACACTCTGGACAAGGTAACATGACTTAAATAACAAAAAGGCACAATACCGTGACTGGAACGATACACAAATAACCCGCACATAAAAGAGAGAAGCTTACGACGACATTTCAGTCCGACTTGAACCATTGACAAATTCACACTGTGTGACTTTGTAAATGGTCCAAGTCGGACCGAAACGTCGTCGTAAACTTCTCTCTTTTATGTGCGGGTTATTTGTGAAGCATGACTTACCCCAAAGGAAACACATTCACCGTCATTCATTCACTTGCCGACTTGTCAGAAGTGTACTAACATCACACTTCACATAAGCCTTTCAACTATAACATCCTCATGTCTTTTTTAAAGGAATGAGAAAATTATTTGTATAATTATGCAAATTATTTTTGAAAAATAAAGCCCGAAAATTCGGAGATATTGATATAATTTAAGTTACTTCTCATATGACTTATTGGACATTGTTAAATAAAGTGAAAACTCACCTGTATGTGAATGGTAAAAATGTGTACCAGCTTCAGATGCATAAAATGAGTATCTGAATGAGGAGCCAGAATGAATGGGGCACTGCGTGATGCCGGGAACACCATCCATGTGTGGAGTGCCAGGATACCGTTCACCGTAAGAGTCGAATGGCGCTCTCATTGTAAGACCATGCCAGTGCATTGTTAAGCTTTCATCGTGCAGCGAGTTTTTGACATCCACCACTACACGATCACCATGACACACCTGCACGTGTATGGTAACATATAATCATGTGATTACCATATCTTCCCAGCATATAATTTGCACTTTTTTTCCCACAAAGTCTTAGAAAATCAGTCTGCACCTTATAATCTCAAAGTCAGGGTCAAGGGTAGGCTTTGTGTTACACTTTAGCAGTTGTTTACTAACGTTACGTTACAACTCCTTGGAAACCTCGCCTTGTAGGTCTTATGTGCTGGAAAATATGGTAGTAAGGCTTACAGGATTCAAGTCTATTGAAATTTAAATCAAATAACATTCTGCAAACATCCAGGGATCAAACCCTAGTTATTTAACAGCCTTCTGGGCAGCTGGCCAAACTCTCATGGCCTTAGCCCACTACACCACCAGGAAGAATAGTGGTGTAGTGGACTAAGGTGTGAAGAATTTATTGTAGCTTCCCGGGAGGCTGGTTAAATAACTCGGGTTCAATCCCCGGTTCGTCACAGTAAGTTATTTGCTTTAAAATCACTTGTTTTGTAGATACGTTATTACTTAAATTTATTTGATAGTTTTATGACACATCCCATACCCATCCTGTGAGCAGTAGTTACCCCATACCCATCCTGTGAGCAGTAGTTACCCCATACCCATCCTGTGAGCAGTAGTTACCCCATACCCATCCTGTGAGCAGTAGTTACCCCATACCCATCCTGTGAGCAGTAGTTACCCCATACCCATCCTGTGAGCAGTAGTTACCCCATACCCATCCTGTGAGCAGTAGTTACCCCATACCCATCCTGTGAGCAGTAGTCACCCCATACCCATCCTGTGAGTAGTAGTTACCCCATACCCATCCTGTGAGCAGTAGTTACCCCATACCCATCCTGTGAACAGTAGTCACCCCATACCCATCCTGTGAGCAGTAGTTACCCCATACCCATCCTGTGAACAGTAGTTACCCCATACCCATCCTGTGAACAGTAGTTACCCCATACCCATCCTGTGAACAGTAGTCACCCCATACCCATCCTGTGAGCAGTAGTTACCCCATACCCATCCTGTGAACAGTAGTCACCCCATACCCATCCTGTGAGCAGTAGTTACCCCATACCCATCCTGTGAGCAGTAGTTACCCCATACCCATCCTGTGAGCAGTAGTTACCCCATACCCATCCTGTGAACAGTAGTTACCCCATACCCATCCTGTGAGCAGTAGTTACTCCATACCCATCCTGTGAACAGTAGTTACCCCATACCCATCCTGTGAACAGTAGTCACCCCATACCCATCCTGTGAGCAGTAGTTACCCCATACCCATCCTGTGAGCAGTAGTTACCCCATACCCATCCTGTGAGCAGTAGTTACCCCATACCCATCCTGTGAACAGTAGTTACCCCATACCCATCCTGTGAACAGTAGTTACCCCATACCCATCCTGTGAGCAGTAGTTACTCCATACCCATCCTGGGAACAGTAGTCACCCCATACCCATCCTGTGAGCAGTAGTCACCCCATACCCATCCTGTGAGCAGTAGTCACGCCATACCCATCCTGTGAACAGTAGTTACCCCATACCCATCCTGTGAGCAGTAGTTACTCCATACCCATCCTGTGAACAGTAGTCACCCCATACCCATCCTGTGAGCAGTAGTTACTCCATACCCATCCTGTAAACAGTAGTCACCCCATACCCATCCTGTGAACAGTAGTCACCCCATACCTATCCTGTGAGCAGTAGTCACCCCATACCCATCCTGTGAGCAGTAGTCACCCCATACCCATCCTGTGAGCAGTAGTCACCCCATCCTGTGAGCAGTAGTCACCCTATACTCATCCTATGAGCAGTAGTCACCCCATACCCATCCTGTGAGCAGTAGTTACTCCATACCCATCCTGTAAACAGTAGTCACCCCATACCCATCCTGTGAGCAGTAGTTACCCATACCCATCCTGTGAACAGTAGTTACCCCATACCCATCCTGTGAACAGTAGTTACCCCATACCCATCCTGTGAACAGTAGTCACCCCATACCCATCCTGTGAGCAGTAGTTACCCCATACCCATCCTGTGAGCAGTAGTTACCCCATACCCATCCTGTGAACAGTAGTTACCCCATACCCATCCTGTGAACAATAGTTACCCCATACCCATCCTGTGAGCAGTAGTTACTCCATACCCATCCTGTGAACAGTAGTCACCCCATACCCATCCTGTGAGCAGTAGTTACCCCATACCCATCCTGTGAACAGTAGTCACCCCATACCCATCCTGTGAGCAGTAGTTACCCCATACCCATCCTGTGAGCAGTAGTTACCCCATACCCATCCTGTGAACAGTAGTTACCCCATACCCATCCTGTGAACAGTAGTTACCCCATACCCATCCTGTGAGCAGTAGTTACTCCATACCCATCCTGGGAACAGTAGTCACCCCATACCCATCCTGTGAGCAGTAGTCACCCCATACCCATCCTGTGAGCAGTAGTCACCCCATACCCATCCTGTGAACAGTAGTTACCCCATACCCATCCTGTGAGCAGTAGTTACTCCATACCCATCCTGTGAACAGTAGTCACCCCATACCCATCCTGTGAGCAGTAGTTACTCCATACCCATCCTGTAAACAGTAGTCACCCCATACCCATCCTGTGAACAGTAGTCACCCCATACCTATCCTGTGAGCAGTAGTCACCCCATACCCATCCTGTGAGCAGTAGTCACCCCATACCCATCCTGTGAGCAGTAGTCACCCCATCCTGTGAGCAGTAGTCACCCTATACTCATCCTATGAGCAGTAGTCACCCCATACCCATCCTGTGAGCAGTAGTCACCCCATACCCATCCTGTGAGCAGTAGTCACCCCATACCCATCCTGTGAGCAGTAGTCACCCCATACCCATCCTGTGAGCAGTAGTCACCCCATACCTATCGTGTGAGCAGTAGTCACCCCATACCCATCCTGTGAGCAGCAGTCACCCCATACCCATCCTGTGAACAGTATCACCCAATACCCATCCTATGTATGGTAGTCACCCCATACCCATCTTGTGAGCAGTATCACCCCATACCCATCCTATGAATGGTACTCACTCCATACCCATCTTGTGAGCAGTATCACCCCATACCCATCCTATGAATGGTACTCACTCCATACCCATCTTGTGAGCAGTATCACCCCATACCCATCCTGTGAGCAGTATCACCCCATACCCATCCTATGGATGGTAGTCACCCCATACCCATCCTGTGAGCAGTATCACCCCATCCTATGGACAATAGTCATCTCTTACCCATCCTATGGGCAATAGTTACCCTATACCCATGCTATGAACAACAGTCAAAAGATCATAGAGGAATACAGCAGGTCCAGGGACGGGGTCTGTACTGTCTCTTAACCAAACAAGCTACAGCGATAATGAATTATGTCGAAGATGCGGCAGTGAACGCAGCGATAAAAGCAAATTGGACATTTCTAACTGTATAGCGTATAAAAAAATAAGTTAGTTGTAATATGACTCATGAAATTGTAATAACACAGTCACAAACAGGCCGCCAGTCTGGAGTTTTAGGTTCAAACACCACCCGTTCCGTGGTCTGTAACATTACAGAGGCCTAATGGGCCTATAACCTGTTCTTGACGTTCTGTTGGCTATATTATTATTAATGAATTCAGTTTTTATAGTGGGACTGTAACATTAGGGATGAAATATTTAACATTTTGTGAAGTCTGTAAAAGTACCGTCTCTAATATACATATACGTATTATAATAATAATAATAATAAATTTTTCTTTACTGCAGTACACAGGTAATGAAATATTGTTAATTACAAAACAAAGCCATTAACATGCTGTTCATTTTGGATTTTTTATTACTTAAAAAGAATGATATTGTATTATGAAAAATCCAAGGATATTACTAATGAAAATTTAAAAAAAATTATACGCTAAGCAAATTATTAAAGACTGGATATGAGCATAGTTCTGCTGTCATTGCTACATATAGGTACGGTAGTGCCGCGGTACTTGAACTTAATTCATTCCAGGAGGCTGTTCGAGTACCGATCTGTTCGAGTACTGAATGAATTTTTCCCAACTAATTTTCTTTTTCATTGGCCATTATCACTAATCTTCTTAGGACCCATGATGACTTATTTATACAAACATAAAAAAAATGTGAAGAAACACGAAATAGTTTAGAGCGAAGTTCTGGCAGGTTGTGTTTGTTTGGTCAAGTGCCGAGCAAACAGTTGACTACCAAGCAATTTTTTTACGGAACAAAACGTTCGAATACTGAATTGTTCAAGTAGGGAGCTGTTCGAGTACCGAGGTTCGACTGTACTTACAAATAGGTACTTACAAATAGGTAATTACACATTCTTTCAGGAAATAAAGCTTCAAGATCATAATAAGTCTCCAGATATTCGACTTTGCAAACTAGTCAAATTCCACTCATTAATGCACGAGAAATTTTATTCATGCTAGTTTCGTTTTTTATGTCCAAAATTATAAAACTGTAACAGTGAAAGTGATAACAGGAGCTGACAGAATATTTTTGTACCTGGATGGGTGGTCCTGGCATCTGTTTATTTACCACCAGGATACGACGCTTGATGCCATCACCTGGGATGCACTCTGGTCGATCACAGTCAGTCTTGACTTTAGGGCAGTTATAACATGCCCTGGGAAAACAAACATATCAATTTGGCCGTAAATTTATAAGTAATCATAGCAATGCATACACTGATATACAGTACATATATATATTTTTTTCAATGCACCGCCCGTATCCCACCGAGGCAGGATGACCTATAAAGAAAATAAAAGCTTTTTTGTACATTTAGTAATTCATACAGGAGAAGGGAGTACTAGCCCCCTTACTCTGGGCACTTAGTAATTTATACAACATTAATACCCCTCTGAAGGAGGGGTATTAATACTGCAATTTTATAACTGTAGTGTGAGTGTACCTCTGGCAAGACAGTGATGGAGTGAAAGATGAAAGTTTTTCTTTTTCAGGCCACCCTACCTTGGTGGGAAACCCTGATGTATTAATAACAAAAAAATAATAACAGGAGAAGGGGATCACTAGCCTCTTTCCTCCATCATTTTAGACGCCTCTTACAACACTCATGACTTACGAAGGAAGAATTCTATACATACAGTATATATGATAACTAAATGCGTATTATAAGTGTTTCTTACAATTGTAAAGTAGGTAGTGTACACCATTTTTCAATTTGTGATCATGAGTACTAATACAATTGTGTATATTTCAATGTGATGCAATATTTATACAGAAATGGTTGATACTGGAGTGCACGTTGAAACCCATGGTTATGGGCACCATTTTCTCTAGTATATACCTTTATTTGATTATAATAATAATAATTACTGTACTTGATTTTACATGTATACTGTACTTAATTTTATGTATATGTATGCTGTACTCAATTTACCTTCAAATGCATAAAAATCCTAATAACATATTTACACTAACGTATCTGACTCACGGAATCGTAATGACACGATTGCAAACAAACCATACCATGGGCGGGGATAGAACCCGCGATCAGAGAGTCATACAAGTCCACACCGACACGCTAGCCGCTGGGCCAGCTTGTCGGTCTGGAGTTTTATGACTCTGATCTCTGATTCTATCCCTGCTCATGGTACAGTATTAATATCAGTATACAGATGAAGATGTTATTACAGAGGAGGACACGCAGATAATCTGCGCTCTGTAATAACATCCTACCTGAGACAAGAGAGATCTCTATCACAGCTCGTCCACCAAGAACTGGCCATGTACTGCTCATGGTACAGTTTTTTTTACGCTATCATATATTAAGTGAGCAATAGATCTAGGCTTAAAAAATGCATATACTGTACAGTACACACATTACTCACCTTAAAATATTTTTGTCCTTAGCTTATAGTGATTGGTGAATATATTTATTGTAGAAAATCTAAATAAATGAAGTATGGGTAGAATTCAAAACTGCTGCATTATTGAAATCCTGTAAAGTGAAGGTGTTGTGAAGCGAAGTACTGTAGAGTTAAATCCCGTAAAGTGAAGGTGTTGTGAAGAGAAGCACTGTAGAGTTAAATCCCGTAAAGTGAAGGCACCGTAAAGTAGAACCCACCTCTATTATATTTTTATTATGTCAAAACTGACAAGTGGAGTTCTCACCTGGACATGGTCTGATAGCTATGGACATCGAAGTGGAAATGGCAGGTACGTACGTCTCCAGCTACACATTTTCTGAAGCAGGCACTGCCTGTGGGAGGGAAAAGAAATTGAATCAATACTGAAATTTCAGAAATAATAAATTTTGATGAACATGTTCGAGAAAACACCAGGAACTGCCTCCCAGGATACACAAGGCGGATTACCAGTAGACTCCTGGCTGTCTTCAAGACCCCTGGCTGTCTTCAAGACCCCTGGTTGTCTTCAAGACCCCTGGTTGTCTTCAAGACCCCTGGCTGTCTTCAAGACCCCTGGTTATCTTCAAGACCCCTGGCTGTCTTCAAGACCCCTGGTTGTCTTCAAGACCCCTGGTTGTCTTCAAGACCCCTGGCTGTCTTCAAGACCCCTGGTTATCTTCAAGACCCCTGGCTGTCTTCAAGACCCCTGGTTGTCTTCAAGACCCCTGGCTGTCTTCAAGACCCCTGGTTATCTTCAAGATCCCTGGCTGTCTTCAAGACCCCTGGTTGTCTTCAAGACCTCTGGTTATCTTCAAGACCCCTGGCTGTCTTCAAGATCCCTGGCTGTCTTCAAGACCCCTGGCTGTCTTCAAGACCCCTGGCTGTCTTCAAGACCCCTGGTTATCTTCAAGACCCCTGGCTGTCTTCAAGATCCCTGGCTGTCTTCAAGACCCCTGGCTGTCTTCAATACCCCTGGCTGTCTTCAAGACCCCTGGTTATCTTCAAGACCCCTGGCTGTCTTCAAGATCCCTGGCTGTCTTCAAGACCAATGACTGTCTTCAAGACCCCTGGCTGTCTTCAAGACCCCTGACTGTCTTCAAGACCCCTGGCTGTCTTCAAGACCCCTGACTGTCTTCAAGACCCCTGGCTGTCTTCAAGATCCCTGGTTGTCTTCAAGACCCCTGGCTGTCTTCAAGATCCCTGGCTGTCTTCAAGACCCCTGGCTGTCTTCAAGACCCCTGGCTGTCTTCAAGACCCCTGGTTGTCTTCAAGACCCTTGGTTGTCTTCAAGATCCCTGGCTGTCTTCAAGACCCCTGGTTGTCTTCAAGACCCCTGGCTGTCTTCAAGACCCTTGGTTGTCTTCAAGATCCCTGGCTGTCTCAGAACCCCTGGCTGTCTTCAAGACCCCTGGCTGTCTTCAAGACCCCTGGCTGTCTTCAAGACCCTTGGTTGTCTTCAAGATCCCTGGTTGTCTTCAAGACCCCTGGCTGTCTTCAAGACCCCTGGCTGTCTTCAAGACCCCTGGTTGTCTTCAAGACCCCTGGTTGTCTTCAAGACCCCTGGTTGTCTTCAAGACCCCTGGTTGTCTTCAAGACCCCTGGTTGTCTTCAAGATCCCTGGTTGTCTTCAAGACCCCTGGTTGTCTTCAAGACCCCTGGTTGTCTTCAAGACCCCTGGTTGTCTTCAAGACCCCTGGTTGTCTTCAAGACCCCTGGTTGTCTTCAAGACCCCTGGCTGTCTTCAAGACCCTTGGTTGTCTTCAAGATCCCTGGCTGTCTTCAAGACCCCTGGCTGTCTTCAAGACCCCTGGCTGTCTTCAAGACCCCTGGCTGTCTTCAAGACCCTTGGTTGTCTTCAAGATCCCTGGTTGTCTTCAAGACCCCTGGCTGTCTTCAAGACCCCTGGCTGTCTTCAAGACCCCTGGTTGTCTTCAAGACCCCTGGTTGTCTTCAAGACCCCTGGTTGTCTTCAAGACCCCTGGTTGTCTTCAAGATCCCTGGTTGTCTTCAAGACCCCTGGTTGTCTTCAAGACCCCTGGCTGTCTTCAAGACCCCTGGTTGTCTTCAAGACCCCTGGTTGTCTTCAAGACCCCTGGTTGTCTTCAAGACCCCTGGTTGGCTTCAAGACTCCTGGTTGTCTTCAAGACCCTGGTTGTCTTCAAGACCCCTGGTTGTCTTCAAGAGCCCTGGTTGTCTTCAAGACCCTGGTTGTCTTCAAGACCCCTGGTTGTCTTCAAGACCCCTGGTTGTCTTCAAGACTCTGGTTGTCTTCAGACCCCGGTTGTCTTCAAGACTCCTGGTTGTCTTCAAGACCCCTGGTTGTCTTCAAGACTCCTGGTTGTCTTCAAGACCCCTGGCTGTCTTCAAGACCCCTGGCTGTCTTCAAGACCCCTGGCTGTCTTCAAGACCCTTGGTTGTCTTCAAGACCCCTGGCTGTCTTCAAGACCCCTGGTTGTCTTCAAGACCCCTGGTTGTCTTCAAGACCCCTGGTTGTCTTCAAGACTCCTGGTTGGCTTCAAGACTCCTGGTTGTTTTCAAGACCCCTGGTTGTCTTCAAGACCCCTGGTTGTCTTCAAGACCCCTGGTTGTCTTCAAGACCCCTGGTTGTCTTCAAGACCCATGGTTGTCTTCAAGACCCCTGGTTGTCTTCAAGACTCCTGGTTGTCTTCAAGACCCCTGGTTGTCTTCAAGACCCCTGGTTGTCTTCAAGACCCATGGTTGTCTTCAAGACACCTGGTTGTCTTCAAGACTCCTGGTTGTCTTCAAGACCCCTGGATGTCTTCAAGACCCCTGGTTGTCTTCAGGACCCCTGGTTGTCTTCAAGACCCCTGGTTTTCTTCAAGACCCCTGGTTGTCTTCAAGATCCCTGGCTGTCTTCAAGACCCCTGGCTGTCTTCAAGACCCCTGGTTGTCTTCAAGACCCCTGGTTGTCTTCAAGACCCCTGGTTGTCTTCAAGACCCCTGGCTGTCTTCAAGATCCCTGGTTGTCTTCAAGATCCCTGGCTGTCTTCAAGACCCCTGGCTGTCTTCAAGATCCCTGGTTGTCTTCAAGATCCCTGGCTGTCTTCAAGACCCCTGGATGTCTTCAAGACCCCTGGTTGTCTTCAAGACCCCTGGCTGTCTTCAAGATCCCTGGTTGTCTTCAAGATCCCTGGCTGTCTTCAAGACCCCTGGCTGTCTTCAAGATCCCTGGTTGTCTTCAAGATCCCTGGCTGTCTTCAAGACCCCTGGTTGTCTTCAAGACCCCTGGCTGTCTTCAAGACCCTGGCTGTCTTCAAGACCCCTGGTTGTCTTCAAGACCCCTGGCTGTCTTCAAGACCCCTGGCTGTCTTCAAGACCCCTGGTTGTCTTCAAGACCCCTGGCTGTCTTCAAGACCCCTGGCTGTCTTCAAGACCCCTGGCTGTCTTCAAGACCCCTGGCTGTCTTCAAGATCCCTGGCTGTCTTCAAGATCCCTGGCTGTCTTCAAGAAGGCATTGGACAGGCATGTCAAGTCAGTACCTGACCAGCCGGGCTGTGGTTTGTACGCTTGGTTGCGTGCGGCCAACAGTAACAACCTGGTTGATCAGGCCCTGATCCACCATGAGGCCTGGTCATGGACCCGGCCATGGGGGCATTGACCCCCAAAACCCTCTCCAGGTATACTCCAGGTAATACCAACATGAAGAATTCTGCAGTTGAAAAATGTATCGCTGACCATATTGGTGATGTGAAAGACTCTTAAACCTGTGGTGTTATAGTGCTGTGTCAGGAGGTGACTGACAGTACTGTGTCAGGTGACTGACAGTACTGTGTCAGGTGACTGACAGTACTGTGTCAGGTGACTGACAGTACTGTGTCAGGTGACTGACAGTACTGTGTCAGGAGGTGACTGACAGTACTGTGTCAGGAGGTGACTGACAGTACTGTGTCAGGAGGTGACTGACAGTACTGTGTCAGGAGGTGACTGACAGTACTGTGTCAGGTGACTGACAGTACTGTGTCAGGAGGTTACTGACAGTACTGTGTCAGGTGACTGACAGTACTGTGTCAGGTGACTGACAGTACTGTGTCAGGTGACTGACAGTACTGTGTCAGGTGACTGACAGTACTGTGTCAGGTGACTGACAGTACTGTGTCAGGTGACTGACAGTACTGTGTCAGGTGACTGACAGTACTGTGTCAGGTGACTGACAGTACTGTGTCAGGTGACTGACAGTACTGTGTCAGGTGACTGACAGTACTGTGTCAGGTGACTGACAGTACTGTGTCAGGAGGTGACTGACAGTACTGTGTCAGGTGACTGACAGTACTGTGTCAGGAGGTGACAGACAGTACTGTGTCAGGAGGTGACAGACAGTACTGTGTCAGGAGGTGACTGACAGTACTGTCAGGAGGTGACTGACAGTAGTGTGTCAGCAGGTGACTGACAGTACTGTGTCAGGAGGTAACTGACAGTACTGTGTCAGGAGGCAACTGACAGTACTGTGTCAGAAGGTGACTGACAGTACTGTGTCAAAAGGTGACTGACAGTACTGTGTCAGGAGGTGACTGACAGTACTGTGTCAGAAGGTGACTGACAGTACTGTGTCAAGAGGTGACTGACAGTACTGTGTCAGGAGGTGACTGACAGTACTGTGTCAGGAGGTGACTGACAGTACTGTGTCAGGAGGTGACTGACAGTACTGTGTCAAGAGGTGACTGACAGTACTGTGTCAGGAGGTGACTGACAGTACTGTGTCAGGAGGTGACAGACAGTACTGTGTCAGGAGGTGACAGACAGTACTGTGTCAGGAGGTGACTGACAGTACTGTCAGGAGGTGACTGACAGTAGTGTGTCAGCAGGTGACTGACAGTACTGTGTCAGGAGGTAACTGACAGTACTGTGTCAGGAGGCAACTGACAGTACTGTGTCAGAAGGTGACTGACAGTACTGTGTCAAAAGGTGACTGACAGTACTGTGTCAGGAGGTGACTGACAGTACTGTGTCAGAAGGTGACTGACAGTACTGTGTCAAGAGGTGACTGACAGTACTGTGTCAGGAGGTGACTGACAGTACTGTGTCAGGAGGTGACTGACAGTACTGTGTCAGGAGGTGACTGACAGTACTGTGTCAAGAGGTGACTGACAGTACTGTGTCAGGAGGTGACTGACAGTACTGTGTCAGGAGGTGACTGACAGTACTGTGTCAGGAGGTCACTGACAAAGTGTTGTGTCTCCATAATGATATATGACTGAGAAAAAGTTCTCCAAAATGGAAATAGGTCAAGGATCACAATGAAAATAAGTCAAGGACCGCACATTAAAAATAATTCGAGTACCACAAAAGGGAGATAAGTCACTTTGTCTGACCTTTTTGGGGACATTATCCTGGT